CCCCCAACCTTTTTGACAGCCAACTGGCAAAAAAGAAATGAGCACGGATTTAGGGTCCTCTAGGAGAGTGCAGAAATCCATGCAGTGCTCGAAAGCAGACAGTATGTTGTTTCTACAAGAACATGGTAAAGGCACAGATCAGCGTGGTGGAAAATCAATTAAAGTTAGATTAGCTGACGCCCTGAATAACGTTTGTATTACCTCCTCACATCGTTGCGATCCAACCAAATATCTCGATTCCAGTTCGCAACTTCCGCAACTTCACAGTGTTGTTGTCGTGGTTGCTGCAGTGAAAGAAACTTGGGTCGATTTGACAGCTCAACCACTAGTTTCGTCATGGCATCAGAGAATGAGATAGAAGGCGTCCTGTACCATGATACAGATTGGTACAATACATATGTGGTGACAGCATTGTGTTAGTGTATAATAGTATATACGTGCTTTACCACCGTCTTCATCCGAATAGAACACCCGGTCCTTGTAGCAGCATTTGGGGCAGCTTTCAGTCCGGATGCAGCGATAATGGCCGGGCGTTCTATTCGGGTGAGGACGGTAGCTGGGCAAGGGTCAGGGAAAGTCCCTGTTAAAAGAGAAAATAAAAGAAAACTTCCGAAAAAAGTACTGTGTTGTGTAGGAAGAACTTCAAAAAAAAAAGAACCTTGCAGGGGGTCTGATGTCAGCGGGGGGTCTGGGGGATGTCAGTGCTGGTATGTCACAGACCTTGCAGGTGTGTACGTGGAAGAAGAAGAAGAAGAGGAGGAGGAGGAGGAGGAGGAGGAAGAAGAAGAAGAAGAAGAAGAATAAGCGAAGGAGGAGGAGGAGGAGGAGGAGAAGAAGAAGAAGAAGAAGAAGAAGAAGAAGCGAAGGAGGAGGAGAAGAAGAAGAAGAAGAAGAAGAAGAAGAAGAAAAAGAAGATGGGAGGGGGGTGAGAAAGGGTGGGCGAGACGAAGAAGAAGATGAAGGTCGAAGATGGGGGGGTGGTGAGAAAGGGTGGGTGAGAAAGGATGGAGGGCGGGGGGTGAGAAAGTGTGGGCGAGAAGAAGAAGAAGAAGAAGGTGGGTGGTGGAGGAGATGCGGCCCCACGAGCGCCTGCACGAGGCAGAGACAAAAAAAAATAAAATTGGAAATGGTGTTCGGTGATGGTGGGCAGGGGGGCCAAGAAGACGACGACGAAGAAGAAGAAGAAGCGAAGGAGGAGGATAAGAGGAAGAGGAAGAAGAAGAAGAAGAAGCAGAGGAGGAGGAGGAGAAGAAGAAGCGGAGGAGAAGAAGAAGAAGAAGAAGAAGAAGAAGAAGAATCGAAGGAGGAGGAGAAGAGGATGAGGAAGAAGAGGAAGAAGAAGCGGAGGAGGAGAAGAAGAAGAAGAAGAAGCGAAGGAGGAGGAGAAGAAGAAGGGAGGAGGAGGAGGAGAAGAAGAAGAAGAAGAAGCGAAGGAGGAGGAGAAGAAGGGAGGAGGAGGAGGAGAAGAAGAAGAAGAAGAAGAAGAAGAAGAAGGGTGGAGGATGGTGGGCAGGGGGCACAAGACACTGGCAGAGAAGAAGAAGAAGAAGAAGAAGAAGAAGAAGAAGAAGAAGAAAAAGATGCGATGAAGAAGAAGAGGAAGACAAAGAAGATGGCGGGCGTCGATCCTCTTACCTTGGGTGCCTTGGCGCGACAGCGCGATGGCGGGCGTCCGCCGGCCCGGTGGCGTTGGCGGCCCGTCGGAAGGGGGAGGCATGTTTGGCCACCCCACCCTGTTAATAGGGGTCGGATTTTTTTTTTCTTTCCTGTTTTTAGTGTTTGGGCACGTAGGGCCACATGTTCGAGGCCCAACGCACCAATTCCGTTTTCCGGAATTCAACGGGACACACCCGTTTTTCTGTTAAACGGGATTCAACGGGGGTCCCTGGGGGCAGTCTAGGCCTAAAGGTAAGATGTAGACTGTTAGGACTTACCCCGGTAGCGCTGTGTACAGCGTTATTGTACAGACTGGCGACAAGTGCAAGCTTCTCGTCCCAATCCACCTGGTTGGGCTTAATGTAATGCCTCAACAGGTGTTGAACAGCGAGGTTCATCTGTTCAGCCTGGCCGTTTGCTTCTGGATGGTTTCCAGAAGTCATTTGCAGTTGAGTTCCTTGTTCAGCTGCAGCGGCCTTCCATAATTCACTTGTAAATCTGACATCCCTGTCACTTACATAGACTTAGGCAATCCAAAATCCCTCACCCAGTTCTCTTTGAACAGCCTGATTACATAGTCGGTCTTCGCTGTTTCCGGCATGACTATTAACCTAGCATACTTACTAAACCTATCCACGATGACGAAGATCTGCCTCATCCCAGTCTTGCTGGTGAGCAGCGTATCCATGAAGTCCATGGACAAGCTTTCACCTGGCCTTTCCGGAATCGGAAGGGGCAGCTCAAGAGGAGCCTGAGTACGGGGCTTGTCCCGTTGACAAACTTGACAAGTCTCCGCGTACAGCTGTGCATCTCGCATCATCGTGGGCCACCAGAATCGCTGCAGCAAGTTGGCTGCGGTCTTCTTATACCCGAAATGACCGGTGGCATCATGACACTCACCTAGAAACAAACTACGCAAAGACTCACTATTGCGAACACACAATCGTTTATTCCCTGCCTTCTCAAGGAACAGCAAGCCATTAACCAACTCAAACTCGGCGGACGTCTTCTTGTCCTTCGCCTCAAGTCTGCGTATGATCTCAGACATAAACTGGTCCTCGCGATAGGCTTCCACCAAAGATTGAGTAACATTGTCCGTGAGACTGAACTCAGTAATGAGCGCACCTGAGAAGTCTGGTCTGCGCGACAGGGCGTCAACAACCTTGTTATACTCCCCTTTTAGATACTGTTAAAGTCATATTGCTCAATGACTTCGATCCAACGCTTGAGAGCATCAGAGAGTACCGGCTAGGTTCTCATCCATTTCAGGGTCTG